GGCTTCTTGACTAAATGCTCTTGCGTGTACGCGTCAAGGCTGACAAGCACAAGCGTGTGTAGTGGTGCATGTCTATACCCCAGACCCAGGAGGTGGATGGAAGCAGGAGGACCCCACATTCTAGTCTGGCTGGGCTACATGACCCTGTATCCAAAACCCAAAGCAAGACAGAACAGAACACTGTTTCTGCAACTTTCTATCTTTATAATGTTGTTTTTTTTTAAGCTGAGAAAATACACATTACATTAAAGTGACCCCTAAACTAAATGATAATTCTGTTTGGAAGGGCAACCTATGCACTGGCCAAGAGGAAATGGACCCTAGCAGCAGGATGTAGGGAGGATTCTTATTTTTAAGAAAGACAAAGAAAGAGAAAACTCAGATTCAGAGAAGCAGTTAACCCCAATCTACTCTGCTTTCAGCAGAAGGCTGGATAGAATTTGCTCACCTTCAATCCAATCATCAAGTCACTAAAAATGCATATGGATACAGTTAAATCACATACAGACATTTGTTTTTAATTTCAAGGCAAGTGAGCCTTAGACTTTCTTAAATCCCTCCTGCAGGGTCAGAAGTTGAGGCAAGAGGCACACACACTGGCTGCTCACTTCTTGCAGGAAAAGCTGAAGGAAGGATGGGGATGGGACTTGGGAGCAGCAGCGCAGACCGACAGAGCAACCATCCTTGAGGTTCTCCCAGGCAAAGTGCATCGGGCCCCTTTTCCTGTCCAAGTCACCAAGGCCTTCAAGTGACAGAGGGAGGCCAGGGGTGTGGGGTGTGTGTGTGTCTGTGTGCGTGTGTGTGCGTGTGTGTGTGTGTGTGTGTGTGTGTGTGTGTGTGTGTGTGTGTGTGTGAGAGAGAGAGAGAGAGAGAGAGAGAGAGAGAGAGAGAGAGAGAGAGAGAGTTGGAGGTGGCATAAGAAACAAACAGTGGGGGGAGGAGGGAGGACAGGGGAATCTGTGGCTGATATGTAAAATTAAATCAAATTATTAAAAAAAAAAAGAAGAAGAAGAAGAAGCAAACAGCAGACAGGGTCTCTCTGATTTGCTTTCCAGGGAGTCTGCTAACTTCTATAAAATGTGACGTGTATTATATAGTGTCAAGATACACCTGGATCCATTTTATAGTTTATTCTAAGATCCTAAAACAAAATGGTATTCACAAAAAGATTTTTCAGAAAGCCTTCCCTGGAGGTAAGCAGCAAAGGAGGCGGGTTAGGACCAGGGCCAGCAAGTCAGAGCACTGGCAGCCTAGGAGCTGGGGCCTCTTTTCAGTACCATTTCCTCCAAGTATTGTCAGGAGCCATGAGTGATTCATAAGAGTCTCTCTCATCAAGGATGCCAGAACACTAACAGAATGGATGGCCCCCGTTGGCCCAGAGTGAGGTGATAGTAGGGATCAGGCCCAGTGTGAACATCACCTAAAGTAAGGACCTTCCCAGCACCCCAAAGCTAGGAACTTGGCCTACCAAGCTAAAAAAGCAGTCTGTCGGCATTCTAAAACTCACGTTGAAGAGAAAACCTTTGCTGTCTACAGGGCCCCACTGTCAGGACTTAAGTGCAGATTGGCTGTTGAGGCTTGGTAATTGGGACAGACAATGGTCCAGAGGAAGAGGCTGAACCCTGTTAGAAGTTGACTGACTTGGAGAAGTATGTGGAGGCAGCTGACCATTGAGAATAAATAAAGAGCTTGTGGTATTCTGCAGGGTCGTATCTGTGTCCATGTGTCTGTCTGTCTCTGTGTGTGTGTATGTCCCTGTTTGTGTCTATGTGTGTGTCTCCCTGGCCGAGGATTTATAATCTGAAACTCCCTAGGAGCCTGACAGGAGAGAAGCAAGGTCTGAATGATTAGAAGGGAGACTGACAAACCAGTTCTGCCAGAAAAAATTCAAGTCACATGACCAGAAAGGCAAGGCCTGGGGAAGAGGGCTCCTATCTGAGGAGCACAGCAGCTACCAGATGACAAGGTTCCAGGCCAGGAGCCAGTCCTAGCTAAAGGACTCAAGGTGAAGAAGTGCAGCACAACCCTGAGAAACAATGTCCCAGCCCTACCCCTCCAACAGAAGTGGCTAGCAGTCAGCCAAGTGCCACCATGACAGTGCTACACCTGTTCTCCACAACAAAACCAAACCACAAAGGGCACATCTTCACAAGCAGGAGCAGAGCTCAGGCCGGCTTCTCACGGCCTCTTGCTTAGTTGCCCTGCTCAGCAACCTGTCTACAAGGACACTCGCTGGCCACGTTATTCCAGCACTTTATTTTCTAGTTACAGCATACTCCTTCCACAAAGTGATGGCGTCAGAACGACCTTCGTGTTCAAGCAGCTGCATGTACTTCAGCCATATCCACTCCACACTGCCTTCTGTCTTGTCCTTCTCCAAGTCCCCATCCTCGCACTGTTGACCCCTGGGGGATTTCTTGGATTGAACGTCATGTGTCCTGGACAGACCTACGTTTGCAGGCTTCCCTGGTCATCAGCTACAGCGGGGCCATCTGTTCTGTGATCCTAGAGTGATCTAACAGTAACAGAAGTCACCAGGAGTCGGGTCCTGCTGACAGCGGTGGGGTGTGGCTCAAAGCAGGCATTTGGCTGAATGATATTCCGGAATCTGTGGTCTGTGTCTTGTTCTCGTAGTTGGATTTCTGACCCACAGAGGTAATTCTTATGCTCTACCCAGCTTGGCTAGCCAGAAACCCTGAGAGCTTGGGGACTAGATCCAGGGTGGGCCTGGTACTCAGTGCTGAAAATTCTGTCCTGTGAGGGTGAACCAGGCTGTCTAAAGCCTCTGCTGAGAACAGGGCTCGGGTAGGACTGTGGGGAGAAGCGCCAACACGAGCGTCTGGTAGGTGCTGCCAGGCAAGGCTTCTCAGCAGGGACACGTTTCCCTGGGTTTTTTTTTTTTTTTTTTTTTTTTTTTTTTTTGTTCTTCTTTTTGACGGTACTAGGAATTGAACCTAGGGCCTTGTGCATGCAAGGCAAGCACTCTATCACCTAGCTACAGCCCTAGCACCAGCCACACACTTCTTTCAGGGACTTTTCTGACTTGCATTTTCTTTAAGGGCTATGGTGGTTTGAATGAGATGTTCCCTATAACCTCAGGCATCGGAATACTTGTTCCCTGGCTGGGAACTGTTTGAGTAGGTGTTAGGGGTGTGGCCTTGCTGGAGGAAGTGTGTCTCAGGGAGCAGGCACTGATGTTTCTTTCAAAAGCCATGGGCCATTCCCAGTTTGCTCTCTGCTTCTGCTTCAAGGTGTGAGCTCTCCTACTCATTTAGCTGTTACGCCTTCATGCTGCCATGCTTCCTGCTAGGATGGCAACGGACTCTTAGCCCTCTCACAGGCCCAAATAACTCTTCCTTCTGAAAGTTACGGTATTTCATTACAGAAATGGAAAAGTAACTAATACAAGGATACTTTCATCCATTTGTGACCTATATTTTCCTCTATTACTGAAACAAAATCAATTTTGTAAATGAGTTAGTATGCAGAGGACTGTATATATTTTATTTACTTATTTATTGTTAAGTTTTTTTTTTTGTTTTTTTTTGTTTTTTCGAGACAGGGTTTCTCTGTAGTTTTGCGCCTTTCCTGGAACTCACTTTGTAGACCAGGCTGGCCTCGAACTCACAGAGATCCGCCTGCCTCTGCCTCCCGAGTGCTGGGATTAAAGGCGTGCGCCACCACCGCCCGGCTATTGTTAAGTTTTTGTGTTGTTCTTTCCTTGTTTGTTTTTTCAGTCAGAGCTCATGTAGCCCATGATGGCCTCAAACTTAATTTGTAGTTGAGAATGATCTTGAACTTCTGGTCCTCTGGCCTTCACCTCCCAAGCAAGATTACAGGTCTGTGGCACCACACCAGCTTCTACACACCTCAGGTTAAGTACAGAAATTTGGATTTTGTGATTCCAGTTGTCTTTTAATAAGATCATGAGTGAATCTAAGCAGACAGGGGCTTGAGACATTGTCCTAAAACAGGACTGTCACCATTTTTATATCATAAAGTAGGCTCCGAAGGTGGCACGCAGTTGTGGCTACCTTAGCTTGGGAAGGGGTGGGGTGGGGGACGGAGATGGCCATGAAGAAACAGAAACCTAACCCCCAGCATTTCTCAGAAACCCCGTGACTCAAGGAACTTGCTCATCAGAAAACTGCAATTTCCTCTCCTCTCTAAATGGCCACCTGCTACCCATAAACTGGCCTGACTGCCTCAGGCACGGTCCTGGTAGGCTTGGTCCAGGGACCCTGTTCTACCTAAGACAGGGAAAAAAATCTCCTGAGAGGGAGGGACCTGCCTGAAGCCTTCAGGAACCCTATAATGCCCACTTGCTCTTGCAGCTGGCTCTGCTATCTACTCTCATGAAATAGCCACAGTTTGTCTCCCAATAATATTTTTCTACCCATGGAGTGGTCCTCTTCAGTGGTTTTGCTGTACTCAATTACAATACCACCTCTCTTCAGCCCAGTGCTGAGGGACCAAGTTCCCATGCTGAGGGGTCTTATGCAGGCAAGGAGAGGATCCTACCAAAGTGCCAGGACCTTAGGACTGGAAAGCTGGGAGCTAGAGAACATTGCAGGGGTGAGTGGTACTCTAGGCCTGACTACATTGCTATTCTTCTCTCAGAGTAGCTACAATTCTATGACCTCTGGAAGTAAAATGACCGTAGTCGGACCTTCTATGGGGAAGAAGTACAGTAACTGATGGCAGGTAGATGCACACAGCTCAGTGTGGACCATACGGCAGGAACTGAAAAAAAAACAACAACCCACAAAACAATAATGTCAAGTTTAGATTCTACATCAAGTTTTGTTAGGAGTTTTGTAAATCACTTATTTGGCCCATTTTCCTTGTTTAAAAAAAAACTTAAACTGGACACAGTGGCATGTGCCTGGAGCCCTAGCTCCTCTGGAGCTGGAGAGGAGAGGATCAATAGAGATCAGGAGTCACAGGATGAGAAGACATTGACATTGGTGCCCAGACCCAGCCCCTCAGGATGGTCTTACCAGGATTCCGTCTGTCAGGGTGCAACCGGAGAAGCGTTTTGCAAGAAACCCCTCAAAGTTAGTTGTTCTCTGAATAGCAAAGAGAAGCAATTTCACTTCAATTTCCTTAGCTCTGGCTCGCATGATTTTGGAAAGTTCTGTCCTTCAAATAGAGAAAGAAGACTGAGGTCAAACAAACGTCTTTCATTCAGGACATGACAAAGCGGGCTGGAGAGATGGTTTGTTGGCTAAGAGTACTACCTACATGGTAGCTCACAACCATCTGTAACTCCAGTTCCAGAAGAGTTGATTCCCTCTTCTGGCCTCCATGGGCACCAGGCATGCACATGGGGGCACATAATATATGCAAGATATACATATATACATAAATAAAAAAATAAACATATATTTAAAAATATATATGTTCCTAGCATTCAAGAGGCAGAGGCAGGTGGCTTTCTGTGAGTTCCAGACTAGCCTGGTCTACAAAGCAAGTTCCAGGACAGCCAGGGCTACACAGAGAAACCTTGTCTCAAGAAACAAAAAATAAATAGATATAAAAAGTGTATTTGTGTGTGTGTGTGTGTGTGTGTGTGTGTGTGTGTGTGTGTGTATGAAAGGAAATAACTTTCATTTGGGAAAAAATGTACAGGAGCATTTCAAATTCTGAGGTCTACTACCAACTCAGTCTAAAGCCTGGGGAATAAAATGGTCTTCCTCCTGACACAGGCACTTTATAAGAACATTCCTCAGATAGTTGAAACCTAGATAGTATGTAGCCCTACATATGCTATGCCTTCTCCACACATGTCTCTATGGAGAGGTTTAATTTATAAATTATGCACAATAAGAGCATAAGAGTAACTTAGGATAATACAACAATTATAACAATATATTGTAATAAGAAGCTACTTTCAAACTCATGAATTGTTTCTTTCCATGGAGAGTGAATCCACACATACAGGGAGACTATACACACTATAAGTAAGAATTGTTGGTGAAGTCATCCCCCAGTAAAAACACATCAAGGATTACAATGCTAATCTGATAATGCGGTTATTACCATGTTTACATCTCTATGTATTTGTTCTAAGACAGGGTCTCACTATGTAGCCCTGGCTGGCCTGGAACTTGATATATAGCCCAGGGCCTCAAACCCAGTGATCTAACTGCCTCAGCCTCCCAAATGCTAGGATTAAAGGTGTGCACCACCACCGCCCGGCCTGTCATAAATTACTTAATTACAAAGCTCTTTATCTTCTAGAGAGCTCAATACACATCTCATCATCCAGATCAAGGCCCCAGAAATGTCCATCAGAGGCCCAGTAAAAGAGGACACTATATGCTTGTCTGCTTCCTGCCTGTGGAGCCTAAGTGTACCTCCCCTAGGTGTTCTGTTGCAGAATATAGGTTATCTGGGAACAGTGACAGGTGAGTTCTTAGAAGGTACTGAACTGTCATCATCTTCCCGCACAATGACAGCCAAACAAAACCTCTGAGTGTGTTTGAGAACGATGTGTCTGTAGGATGTCTGCCAGAATCCCGACAATGAAGCTTGGCAGCAGCATGCCCTAGCTGGGACAACAGCAGGCAGTGATGCTCGAAGAGACCTGCTGTCTTCTGCACACTGCCAGTCCAACTAACACACACTTCTTTTTGCACAGCCTGCCTGGCAAGTGTGCTGAACTGAAGCTGAGAGAAATCAGTAGCAACTCCTCAAGAAGTTCACTCTTTCTTTGCCAGCAAGATTTAGAAGCTGACAACCATAACTAGCCATGAATTAATACTTGCCTATTTATTAAATACTGTATCTAGAGGCTGGAAAGATAGCCCAGCAGTTAAGAGCACTGGCTGCTCTCTTAGAGGATCCAGGTTCAATTCCCAACACCTACATGTTGGCTCATAACCATCAGCAACTCCAGTTCCAGGTGATCCTATACCCTCTTCTGGCCTCTGTGGGTACCAGGTACACATGTGGGGCACAGACATACATGCAGACAAAACACTCATATATATAAAAATGAAATAAATCTTTAAAAAATACTGTATCTATGGTAGCACATGTGTGTCTTTAACAACAGCCATTCTGAAGGTACACCACCCAAAGTGAACTCGAATGTAAACCACAGAGTCTAGTGAAAATGTATGTTAAGGCAGTCAGTGGCAGCAGCATGCCAGTGGGGGTGGAGGAGTGGTAACAAAGTGGCTGTGTGTGCAACAACAAGGTTCATGGGAAATCTCTGTAATGACCAAATAATTGTGATTCGAACTTAAACAATCTAGACATTAAACGCCCATTTTTACAAATAAAATCAATATCACATAAAATATTTTGTCCCTCAATGTATTTCAAGTGTACAGTTTGAAGATACTTTCTATCAGTTTTTAAGGAAGATTTGGGATGGGGTAAAGCCAAATGGTAGAGCATTTGCATAGCATTCACAAGGCTCTAGGTTCAGTCTCCAGGAGGGTGGGGGGGGAGGGGGGAGGGGGAGGGGGAGGGGGAGGGGGGGAGGGGGGAGGGGGGGAGGGAGAGGGAGAGGGTGAGGGAGAGGGAGAGGGAGAGGGAGAGGGAGAGGGAGAGGGAGAGGGAGAGGGAGAGGGAGAGGGAGAGGGAGAGGGAGAGGGAGAGGGAGAGGGAGAGGGAGAGGGAGAGGGAGAGGGAGAGAGAGCGCGCAGAGACAGAACAGCATAAATGACACTAAGGTGGCTGAGTCATATTTAGATGCAGGCCCTTTCTCGCCTGTATTAACCTAAAGTCAAATATAATTATGTGCTGTTAGAATGAAACTATAGTAATAAAATCCATTTACCACACTGTTTGATATAGTTACAAATAAATAATAAAAAAGTTTGACTCTGGTTTTATCTGTCCTGGATATTCCTGAGTTAACTTCGCTGGGGTGTAATTCTTCAATAAGGAACTTTGTGGCCTACGCTATACTCACAAATACAGCAGAGTGGATGAATGAGAGGTCTTTAAAATGCCCAGGATGCTCAGATGCCAATATTAGAAATCACAGAATAGAAACACTGTATTAGGGAAATACATTCAACAAATTCTTTCCTTAGTGTCTGCCATGCACTTAAAAAAGAAACTACCCTACTCTTATAGAGCTATCCACCCATCAAGTCAGAAGTCAAATGATGACGGAGGGACACACTATGTTCCCATATACATGATCGAGATGCAGGGGAAATATGAGCACGACAAATCACTCTGGACAAATCGGCCTGGTGAGCCCCAAACTGGTAAGGGAGGGCAGCGCAGCTGTGTGCTGTTTGGGGCAAGCAAGGGCTAGGTAACAGGGAAGTCCTGGAGCAGGGAAGCGAAGAGAGGATGAGGCTGTAGTTGGTATGAGGGTGGCACCAATCATTTGGTAGAGATGGAAAAAGTGCCCGATTTTCAGGTCACATGGAACTGTAAGTCAGGTCTGGAAGCAGGAGACAGCGGAAATTTACCTCGTCACGTGACAAAATTCTACTGAGATCCTCTCCGTCATGCACCACTCCCGTGGAAACATCCGACCATACTTCTCCTCATAGTCCACAAGCTGACGTTTCACCCAGGCATAACGTCTATCAATTTTGTCCAGCCAGGCAACCTCGTGGAGGGAACAAAAGCACTTAGTGCTCAGAAGTGTAACAAGCAAAAGCTAGGACCCAAGAGAAAAGACAGCCAACCTCCATGTTTCTCCAACTTAGATTCTGAGTCTACACCATGCTATCTACTTGAACAGAATTTAGTTCTCCACCTATGGTCCATGGTTGGGCATTAGGGGTCTGTGTATTTCCTAAAACTGTATGTAAAGTGTGACGCACAAGTACATTCTTCTGGGGAGAAGCTAGCTTTCATTCATTTCTCAAAATGGTCAGCGACTCAAATGGTGAAGCCCCGCTAAAGTCAGACAGGGATCTGTGGTTCAGTGCACAACACTATCAAACACTTCATCGGACCAGTAACGTATAGGTCAGGAGGCCTGGCAGCATTAGTTCCTTCTCAAGAAAACTCAACTGTTTCATCTAGCCAATACTTACATCTTGGTTTTCTTGAAAAAGTACTAGATACTCTGACAGATGCTGTTTAATAAACTTTTTGATGATTTCCTGTTTGATTCTGGGGTCCAAAATATTAGCCACCAGGCACGCATCTCTCAGGACATTGCTGGGTCCCCCCGGCCTCTGGGAAAAGAACAGCACACAGCAGTTAGTTACAAGGTGGCAGCACCTGTACATCTCCTGTCTTCCTTGTCTCTCCCTGTCCTCACCCTCTCCTCAGACAACCAGTCTTGCTGCAGTAGACTGACATCTTAGTTACCGGCTCCTCGAGAAAAGAACAGTAAGCTAGTCTTGCAGTGGCCAACCTAAAAACTAGCCCGTGACTCAACAAGACATTCAAGAAAACAGAGCCAGCAAAGATCACAGGAAAGGTTACTTCTGGGTATCGAAACTGAAAGTGACCTAGAAAGCCAGAATGACAACAGAGATTCCACTGAAGGGCCCCAAAGTCATCGTCACTCACACATACACTTTTCCTGCTTCCAATCTTCCTAAGATCCCTGATGTGGTGTTTGCTTATTTGCCAGCTGGCTTGCCTGCCTGCTTGCCAGCTTTGAGACAAGGCCTTGCCATGTAGCCCAGGTTAGCCTCAAACTCAGTGTCCTCTTCCTTCAGCCTCCCAAGTGCTGGGATCACAGGCATGCCCTACCATACCCAACTGTCATTCCCATTCTTAAAGAGCTGTATTTATGACAAAGAGGATGGTGGTTTTAAAAACCCACACCAAATTCTAAACCACCAGACTCATTTCACTGATGGCCAATTACCCAGACAGACTGCCAAAAGTGAAATACTCTGACACTGCTTCCCTGACCTGAAGAGTGGAAGTGGGGTGGGGCTGTAAGGATACACCAGCTAAGAAGGGCCTTGTTTACTACCAAAGCAACTGGATCTCACTGACCTGCTAGTGTATCACTGACTATATGTGCTGATCAGGGTCCCTACGGTACAAAGAACACTTGGGAGCTCTTGGTTTAGCTACACAGCCTGGTGCCTTGGGAGGTGTTACTCAACCTCACCTGAAAAGCCATGGACTTAAATCAGCAGAAATTCTTCCAAAGCTTTCCTGATTGTTTTTGTCACTTCTGTCCATCTGAATTGATGTTCAGATATAATGTGACATGCTCTATTCTGAACGGTTATTCTGCTGCCCTCTGAACACACTGCCCTCTGGCTTCAAGACAAAAATGCTTGAGCTCACTGACAAGTCATGGAGGCCAAAACTTACAGGTTCAGAGGTTCAAATTTTCTCATTTACAAAAAATTTACTAGATTATCTTGGTGTCTTAGTTACTTTTCTATTGCTGTGAAGAGACACCATAACCAAGGCAACTTATAGAAGAAAGAGTTTATTGGTGCTCATGGTCCAGCATGGCAGCAGGCAGGCGGGCAGACAGGACGCTGGAGCACTGGCTGAGACTTTACATCCTTATTCAAAAGTAGGAGGCAGAGAGAGAGCCAGGAATGGTGCTAGCTTCTGAAACCACAAAACCCTTGCCTAGTGGGCACACCTCCTCCAACAAGGCCACACCTCCTAATCCTTCAAAATACTTCCACCAACTGGGGACCAGTATGAGCCTATGGAGACCATTCTCATTCAAACCACCACATTTGGATATTTCATTTTAAAATTTTGATTAGTTTTTCTTAAGACAGGATATTTCCTGTGTATCCCAGACTGGCCTAGATCTTGCTATGTAGTCTGAGCTAACTCATGATCCTCCTGCCTCAATCTCCAGGATGCTGGCTGGGGTGATAGGCATACCCACTAATCGATACTTTAAAAAAAAATGTTTTGGTTCCAATTTGCAAAACAGGATTAGTAACACAAGGCCTTTTAGAAAAATCAATAGCCTTTTAAAAAGGAAAAAGAAAACTTAACACTATCCCATTAAGTAACAGCCAGAAAAGGAAGTCAGGTCATTAAACCCTTTTAACTTCATATGCCCACTGGGAACTGGGAGAAAAGGTAGAAAGTAGGCCATGGTTAGATGATAGGCAAATAGTAAAGAGAGCCTTCACCCACATCCTTCTGATTGTGCAATGGGATGCGACAGAGAGCACAGGAAAGCAGTTGTCTAGGAAGACTACTGTTTACAACTAGCCACTAGCCTTAAAAGGCAGCCACTAACCAGGCAATCCCTTTTTGCTTTTGAGAACTTCATTTTCCTCAGAGGGCCAACAGGAATAATGGCTTTCCAATCTATGCCTTTCCTGAGTTATATCACATGACCAAAAGATGCAGTTCTCGAAGCAAAGTGCTTCACAAATGAATATCAGATTCCTGGCAGTCAGTTGGAAAACACAAAGGCATTAAGGTTAGGAGTTGGTCGCCTACAGAAAGCAATCTATCAAAGCCAGGGCTGCCACCCCCACCTACTTCCTAATACAGAGCACAAAGGAAAAGCGATTAAGATATTTCCAGTTATTGAATTACAGAGCAAATGCAGGAAATGCTCCTTGGCTCACAAGTGAACATATATCCATCCCCATCTCCACCCACAGAGCCCAGTGAGGGATGCTGCTGGCCATGTGCTCGGCTTTACTTCTGCCTTCAACAATGCTTTCTCTTGAAATAGCTCAAATAATAGAGAAAACAAGCTTCTGCGGGTTCTCTCCTCCCTGACACATGCAAAGCATTAAGATGACATCTGCTGCAATGTGAAGTATGGAGCTAAGAGCAGTTTACCAGCACAATGACAGCCAAGGGAGGGAAGCCTGTGTGAGAGACATGTACCCAACGGCTCCCAAGCGAAAGCGAAGGCCTCGCAGACACAACAGAGACAGCTCTACCACCGGGGAGCTCGAGGATCCCAGAGAAGAGGATTCCCACCATTAAAAGTGAGTCTCTGGACTGTGTCATGAGTTACATAAGCTCCCAGTTGTCTTTTCACCAAACCAAAACCAGTGTTATGTAACAACCGAAAAAATGTTGTGGTCTGAAGGTTGTTTTTTTTTTTTTTTAAACACAGCTATGAGGAAAAAAGTAAGTTTATAGGGCAGACAAAATGCAAGATTTGACATACATTAAATTAAACCAAATGAATCCTCATTTTTCTCCCAGAGGGAGGAACTCATGTAGCCCAGGCTGGCCGCAAACTCAGTATGTAGGCAAGATGAATTTGAACTTCTGATTCTCTTGCCTCCACCTTTCTAGGGCTTACTTTACAGACATGCATTGCCACACCCAATTTACGTGGGGCTAGTGATCAAACTCAGGACTCATGCATGCTTAGGTAGGTACTCTACCAACCAAATCACACTCCTGGCCCAAGTCCTCTTTCTGAGGCTGGAAGGACACAGATAAACAATTAGCATTGCATCGTGACACTTAAAACAGAGGCTAGTCTGAGTGGGCAGGCAGCTGGCCTGTGCCTGCCAACACTTCTGGAGTGATACAACGTGTGCTACCACTCATGTGTCTCACACTCATTGACTGGAGTATGAGAACAGTGATAGTACCTAAAGATTGGAGGGAAACTGCGAACCAGTACCTTGGTACCCTGCGAAGGAAACGCCTCTTCAAAATCAGCCAGGATCTGCTGTCCCAACTCAGTCTGTGCAGCCTTCACCCTGGAAGGAAAAGGGACTGAATTAATGACTGGCACCCTTTTCAAATTCCTGGATATAATGGATCCACAGGTTGAGGAACTGTTGAAGTCTCCAGACCTGTGCAGGTGATCACCCAGGAAGGAAAAGGGATGTACAGCTAGGTAAGAGAGGTCACAGAGAAGCGGGGTTATGACTTGGATAAAGGCATCTCAGGATGGATTGTCTTGCTGTCTTTTTTTTTTCTTCAGTGCTAAGGACTGAACCTACGACTTCGGGCATGAGAGGCAAGTGCTCTACCACTGAGCTACACTCAGCCCTTCAGGATACAGTTCTAGGTCACTCTTACCGACTGTGAGGTATATATGCTGATCTTTACAAAATTTCATTTGAGGGTGGTACTGCAGGGAAATATTATATAACAGCACCCTGATCAAACACAAATCTGTTGGACTACTGAAACAACTGTTTCCTATTCTATGGGGTACAAAGTGGGAAGAGTGGTTCAGACTGTTTCAGAATGATTTTATATTTGCTTTTTATAATACTGTAATTCAGAAACCTAACATTGAAAACAAATAACAAAAAGAATGTTCTTTAAGGAAAAAGTTAAAAAAAAAGAGCCAGGTGATCAATGAACTACTGTTTAAGAGCGATGGGCATTATCTGTAATTCCAGCACTGAAAAAGTAGAGGCAGGAGGGTCACAAGTTCAAAGCCAGACTGAGATGCACTTTCAAGACCATGTCTCGCAAAGCAAAACAAGACAGGCAAAACAAGTGATGGACATTGGGTGAAGATTTAGCTTCAAGAGAGTGTGAACAAAAGACTGAACTGTAAGGAAAAACATGTAGAAGGACAGTGGGGTGGGGTGGGCTGGTTCTTAATGGCATCTGCAGGAACACTAGGTGCTCAGGAAATATTCAGCTCCCCTGAAAGAGGACAAAGGAGAAGCAGCTGGGATGAAACAGGAAGTGTCCATCGGTGAGTGCTGCAGTCATGTCCTCCTTGGCCACCGGCTGCCTCTGCTGGTGACACCTGGCTTGTCCCAGCCAGGCACAGAGCTAGAGAACTAGGCTCCTGGGCAGCTGCTGGACTTCCCTGAGCCTGACGTAAAGATGTGCTTTGCCAAAAGCACCATGAAACAGCATGCCTCCTTTCTTGGACTCCACCCTGCAACTTCTGGATTGATTTTATAAAGTTTCTAGAAATAGTGAACAACCTAAAACCACAATTTCTTTGGCTACTGAGGAGAACCTGGCAAGTGGCTGAGATTTTATTTTTTTAACGAGAGCATAGGCATGACCCAGAACACTCAGTTTCTTCCTGTGGCATAGTTATAATCATGCCTGATTCCAAATACTTTCCAGGGTTTTTCCACTATCTTCAAAAGTTCTAAACCATTCCTACAGGTGAGTTTATATTCTTTTACGTTTGTGTTCAAGATAAGGCTATGCTGGAATCCACCCCACCCCCACCTGGAGTTGCCCAAGAGACATCTGGAAACTTCTCGAGTGTAAAGTCTGATGTGAGAGAAAAGAATGTGCTTTCATAAAATTGTCCCTCAGAGCATCTTGCCACTCCCCAGAGTGAGCCAGCAGGCTGTCTACTGTGGGGCCAGGTCACAAGGCAGAGATCGGATGTTCACGCCCCTCTGTTCTGACCCTCTTCTTAGAAACAGAGACAGCACCAGTTCTTTCCTGAGCCACAGGACAAATCCTGTAGGTGAGGCCCAGCCCTGACCAGAGGTATGCATGGTCAGGGTCACTGATAGCTCAATGAGGACGCTGGGCCCAGCTCTGCCTCTGTTACCTCCACCCCACTCTACTACAATTCCCAACCTCCATGTTCTTGCTAATTCTATCACTGTGGGGGCTGGAATGACAACCAAAGTATATGATGGGTCTTGGCACTGGAGCACAAAAAAAAAGGGAATTACCAGGCTCTCATTCGTAATGATTTCTAATGTTCAAAGTCACCCTTGAGACCAGCTAGACTTAGCCGTGCCACTAGTAAGCGGCATGTAGTAAGTTACTTCTTCTGTGTGGACCACAACTAAGAACCATTGTGAAGGGGGCTAGAGATACAGTTCAGCAGTGAAGACGCTGCTGCTCTTCCAGAGGACCAGAGTTGGTTCCAGGACACATACCAGGTGACTCACAACCATCTGTAACTACAATTCCAGAGGATTCAACAGCCTTTTCTGGCCTCTGAGGGCACTCACAGATACACATGAAGAAGGAGGGAGGGAGGGAGGGAGGGAGGGGGAGGGAGAGAGAGAGGGAGAGGGAGAGGGAGGGAGAGAGAGAGAGAGAGAGAGAGAGAGAGAGAGAGAGAGAGAGAGAGAAGGGGTAAGGACAGAGGCCTGTGCTAGAGGCTTCAGCGTTTCCAGTACTGATTATTCACAACACCCAGCTTACAGTTGGATCTGGCAATAGCACTCGCCTTTACAAGCGGTGGCAAGAGGGGTTCATAATTAATATTAGGGCGGAAAGACAAGCCTCTGTCTAGAATCGTCTGCAGCGGTGGTTGTCTCTCAGTGACGGAGATGAAAGAGCAGCTATTCCCCCGGAGACGCTATTCACAAAGCTAGATCACACTCACAGGCATTTCTGGGTGAGGTGTGAGCCACAGCTTCTATAATGGTTATAGCTTATGAACAATTCCCCAAAAGGCTCCTGTGTTGAGGGCTTAGTCTTCAGGTAGTGCTGCTGGGAGGTGACTGGACCATGAGGACGGACTTCACCAATGGACTAATGGGCTGACAGATCCATCATTTGATGAGGTAATTGGGAAATGATGGAACGAGGAAATGGGGCATGGTGTGAAGAAGTAGGTCACTGGCTGGGGTGGGCAGTGCCCTAGAGGGAGTATATGTGTATATAAACATGTATAGTTTTGGGGGGGGTGTGTAAACTGGAGGATAACTTGCAGGAGTCAATTCTCTCCTGTATCATATGGATCCCAAGGACTGAACTGGAGTTGTCAGGTTTGGTAACAGGCATCTTGACCACTGGGCCATCTTACTGGCTCACCTAGGTGGATTTTGTCCTCAGATCCTTGTTGTATTTTTCCTGGCCTCATGTATGCCACTCTGTTCTACCATGTGCTTCCTACATGATGCTCTGCCTTACCTGTGTTGCCAGAAGCCTTTTTTTTTTTTTTTTTTTTTTTTGAGACAGGGTCTCATTAAGTAGCCTATGCTGCTCTGAAACTTACTCTGTAGCCCAGGCTGGCCTCGAACTCACAGAGATCCGCCTGCCTCTGCCTCCCGAGTGCTGGGATTAAAGGCGTGCACCTGTAGCTAGCGTTTTCCTGCCTGACCCACAGTCAGGACAAATCCCACCAACTGGCGGGTGAGAGAGATTTGTCCTGACTGTGGGTCAGGCAGGAAAACGCTAGCTACATGCACCACTAGTCCAGCCACCACCACCTCTTTCAGGTTGTTTTTCTTTGTTATTTCCTCACAGTAGCAGACACTGAGGCAATGACTGATGGTCCAAATAGGACCCTAGAGACAGTTGACAAGCTTATCATCTTATCATCAGCCCACCAACTAATGTGGGGCAGGAAGGGTTGGAAGTTCCTTCCTTCCGGCAGCTGAGTGTGGGCACACCTTGATCTCTGTGAGTTCGAGGACAACTAGGGCTGCAGAGAGAGACCTGTCTCAAACACAAACAAACAAAACAGTTCTTTCGGCATCCAAGGAAACTCAGCCTGTTGTGTAACTACAGCATCCTGAAGTTGGTTACTACTAGGAAATACAGCATCCTGAAGTTGGTTACTACTAGGAAATACAGCATCCTGAAGGTGGTCACTACTAGGAAATACAGCATCCTGTTGTGTGATGGCTCCCTGAAGGTGGTCACTACTAGGAAATACAGCATCCTGTTGTGTGACGGCTCCCTGAAGGTGGTCACTACTAGGAAATAGAGCATCCTGTTGTGTGACGGCTCCCTGAAGGTGGTCACTACTAGGAAATAGAGCATCCTGTTGTGTGACAGCTACCTGACGGTGGTCACCACTAGGAAATACAGCATCCTGTTGTATGACAGCTACCTGACGGTGGTCACCACTAGGAAATACAGCATCCTGTTGTGTGATGGCTCCCTGACGGTGGTCACTACTAGGAAATACAGCATCCTGTTGTGTGACGGCTCCCTGAAGGTGGTTACTACTAGGAAATACAGCATCCTGTTGCCTAGAAAAAAATCAAGGAGTGGCTTCTGGCATCATTCATGCCATGGGACGACAGGATTGTTCAAAGGTGCCCTTCTCTAATAGAATGTCACTCATAAGAAGTGGTGGGAGAGGGACAACACAGTAGGAGAACCAGAGTCTCACAGAGAAACACCAGTGTATATTCATCATCTCGTGACAGCCCAGAGAAGATACCCGCCACTGCTCTGAAGTAGTGTCCTGACCTCCCACAGAATGCCTTGACTGAACAGAAGGGATTAGTCAAATACAATAAGGCAATAGGTGCTCCCAAGAATCTCAACCAGGAGTGTTGCAGAGACTTGGCGGGAGGCTCTGAGATCATGGAATGTGGCCCTCACAGCTTAATCTAAGAGGCCCAGACAGAACTTGTCAAAGAGCTAGGCAGACCCCTCCATTCTTTTTTTGTTTTCACTACACCATGTGACTTCCCAACCTGCCAGGCCTCTCTCTCATGTAAGCAGTTAGACATAACTCTGGGGGGAAAAATGTAAGGGTTCCCAGGTTTTGTTTTGTTTTGTTTTTTAAAGAAATGCAAGAATCTTCCATTCTTTCTCAGGAAATATTGACTGTCTAGAAGCATTTGCTCTTGTGGATATGCTTAAGCCAAGAGGATTTGAAATGAAAAGATATTAAAGAAAAAAATCTTTCCTTCAACGCTACATTAAACATTTAGGCATTTGCCAGAAGGGCAGTTGAAAGAAATAGCAAATCAAGGCCCATGAACTTCATATTTCAAACGTACAGGCAAAGACTTGAGAATGCAGCCTTGCGTGTGACGTGTGCGATTTATAACAGCAAGGCATT